TACCAAGAGAAACTGAAACCGCAGAAAAGTTAGGGTCAGTACAGAAAGCCGAGACTTCTGCAGAAAACCTAGGTTCTTGAAAAAACGACCTTTCACAAGAATAGTCTCCATCCACTTGGATTCCTCAAAACCATTCAACATCATTTAACTGCACCCCCCTTGAGCGCATGCCTTTTTTTTCACTTGATGAAGCCCATCTCATGCCAGTATGCATACGATACCGCCAAAGACCGCTGTAACACGCGCAAAATCACCTGTCCCGGTCCAACTCTGCGAGCAAGCCGAGCCTTCTTCCCTATGAAATCCTCGTCCACCTGAACCCCAAACGTTAAGGGGTTCAAGATCGCACCACGTGATGTCGCACAGCGCAACATCACGTGGTGGACGATGTGAGCCTTCGGCATATAAGGGTAAAGCGCTTCCCCCTGATCATGGGACACTTTCGCAAGTTGCTGATATAACTGGAGAAATTCCATTCCTTTTCCACCAATCTGATGGCTCAAGGAAGGCTCCAACCATAAATCCGAAGAATACATGTCGTGAAGGCAAGTGTTGATTGCAGACGTTGCGGCCTTGGCCTTGGACAGGATGATGTCATCTGATACGTCAAACCTCGCAAAGTAACTTTGAAGAAAACGCAACAAGACTCTACTGACGTGGCCTTTGCTCCACTGCCCGTTGGGATAGGTTTTCCTATCATACCATCCGCAACTTTCCTTCGTCAGCGCTGTGATGTATGTAGGTTCACGGTGCTCATCAGCGAAGGTGAGGAACAGCGATGTCAAACGCTCAAATCGTGAGTCGACTGTACTTTCTGGGAAGCGATCTGTGATACGTGCCAATGTCGAAGCGGCAAAACTTTTTGCCATACCAAGATGGAACGCATGCCACAAGTCGTAGCTGAAGAAATCTGCCGGCCGTGATGGGCAGTGGGCGAGGTGAAGAAGCACGGGTCTCACTGTCCACGGCTCATCGCAGTACATCGTCTGAAGCCATGAAGGGTTCAAGCTCAGATCCTCGAAGTCGTGCTCCAAACGCCCTGCGTGGCACAGGTGGCAGATCCCTTTGGGCTTGCTCGTTTGTACCAATGCTTTCTTCGGAATGTTCAAATAGGATCGTTCCAAGTGGCCGCACTTTTGGAGCCATGCCCAATCTCCAACTGCATTCAGACAAGCAGCATGGTACCGTTCACCATGCTTGCCAGTGACGCCCTGCTGAAATGATCTGAGACAATCGCCTGTCATGAAAGTTAAAAGGTCATCAAGCGCCTGCTCGTCTTTGTGCATCTTGGGTAGACACCCAGTGATCATTCTGCTGGAGTGGGTGGAGCCCACGTAATTCAATCGAAGCTGCAGGTAGGATTTTGTTTTTCTGTTGGCATTTGCTAAAACAGTCCCGAATCCTATCATTGAATGATATGAGGTCACCAGGAAAGGGCCGCGTTTCCGGCCGCGCCCCTCGTCGCCGTGCATCACGACGGGCAAAAGATGTTCAACTTTGATACCATGCTTCTCAATTTCAGCCCACACTTGATGGTCAGGCTCAGCAAGCCGATACAAGCGCCAAAACTCGCGAAGCAAGGCCCTTTCCCGTTTCGGGTCTGCATTGTGCAGGCCTAGTAACATATGCCAGACGTTGTGATCGATGATGAATTGAAGCCAGCTTTCCAAAGCGATCACGTGAAAGTTCCCGGAGTAGCGGACACCAGGAGATTTCTGAATTTCTCTGATGGGAACAGGGAGCTGAAGATTGTACTTCCTGGACACTTGCTCAACATCCCTTTCACTGTTGCTTAAAGTACACCGGCTCAACTCTATGAGACCACTGCTGGCTTCCGCAGCTGTCTCCCCGATATCACTCACAACTCCACGCGCTGCTCTAATCACAGCTCTGCAAGTCGAGGCCTCGGCGTGACGTGCGCAATTCCGGTGGGAATTGTGCACCCGGGGAGAGAAGCAAAGACACATAAGAGAGAGGGATAGACATGTCAATTGGATCGTTTGAAGTGCATCAGGATCTTTTCAAAAGGTGGCTTGCCCTGCAGTCAGCCACACACACACTGACACTTGCAACGTTCATGGTTGTGCAAATGGATGCGCTGCACTTTTGCCCTGAAACTCAGAAAGCTCAATCGCAGATTCATCGCATGTGCTTTTAATTCAAGCACATCTGAAATTCTGACCACTCTTTTTGCGGCTTCTACTATATATAATATTCCCAGATCATGCACATGATGTGTCTATATATATATATATTCAAATTGTGATGCACAGCAATCACTTCGGTTTGAACTTGAAAGACCTGTACACTACATAGCACATGGAGGCTCCATCCGGCTGGTCGGTGCTCACAGTGTCTCCCCCCAATCGCACATTCCTCGATCCAGGTTTACCTGGGCCAGTGCATGGTGTGGGTTGCCCGAATGCCGCAGCCAACTTTGTTCGCTACATCGCTTTCGTAATGGCAACATACATGTCAATCTGACGCACACATATATATAGGACCTGTCCAGTGATGTCCAGTGCCTACATCAAACAGGCATATCAGCAAACAAATGCAGCCTAGATGCTTTGATATTTCTGGATAAGAGCGGCTTCTAGCATTGCCGTAGAAAATGGTTCAGGCGCAATGTGCAAAACGACCATGTTGGACCACTTGTCTCTTTCATGGCAATATCCATACAAATCATTCTCCCAACGCCAGATTGGGTTGTGGGTCCAGCCAATTTTGAAGATCATAGGATACCATTTGGTGAATAACCTTTCAAGAGCATTGGTGCAATGCTCAAGCACACGCCCAGCAGAAACATTTGCCGGTGGTAGATCAAAAGCTATGCATGGCATGGTGGTTGCCTCCTTGGCAATGCCGACAAGGCGGGTGTTGCCCTGAAGTTCCGGTGGTATTTTTTGGAACCACGGGGGGATCTCTGAGGCAATTGGTGCCGAAGGTGCACTTTCATGGGATGACGCATCCCCCAACGATCGGTTGCCCGATGCCAGGCACTCCGGATCTCCACCAGAGCACGGTCGCCCGAGCGGCATTGCCCATGGGAAAGGGCCTTCAGCTTCCTTAATGGATGGGTCGGAGAGATGGTTGAAAGCTATATATAATCGATTTGTTTCGTACCATAAGCTTGTGAACGGATGTGAGAACATATCTTAATTGTTACATAGTGCCTCTGATCTCCTCTGCATACATGGGATTATGGTCATGTAAAAATACCCCCGGCCTATGTAAATCCTGGAAGCCACACACAAACGCCACACTATATATAGTTCAAACACACTCATGTACAAAAGACCATGTATATGGGTGACCTGCACACCTTCCTTGTTATGACCTGTATATTATAAGTGTTTTTGAATAACTATGTAGACCCAAATGTGGAAAATAAAGCCCGGATTTGACTTTTGGCATCTGATGACTTCGGTTCTTTCATCCCTTGCCCGTGAAAGATGACTGCCAAGGGTCCGTCCGGTGACAGCACAGCAAATCTAAGAGTTCTTCTTCAGCGGTTTCGTCATCCATTGCTCGATCGACTAGGGTCTTCGGAGGCTATATAATTGTGAATTGCCTATATACAATATATAATGCATATATGTTCATATCATTGATCATATTGCACTAAAATCGGTTTGAGATGTTGGACTATCTCGAAGCTGCAAATTGATCAAAAGGAAACACATCTTTTAATTTGTCTCGGCAACTTGACACCAGCAAAACCTATTATGATATATTCATGTGTATGTTGAGCTGTGTCCAAATGTAATGCATCACCAGAAGTGTGGAAATTCAATGGTCGAACTCTTGTATAGACCCAAAATGGCCATTTGTCTCATGGTTGTTTGGATAGACCACTGCGTTGCAGCGATGGCTGAGGCCAAAGCTCCTTCACCGACATCTTTGCTCAAAGTCTGCAGAGCATTGCCAGCACCTGGCATGCAGGGATGGTGGTGTTGAGATATGGGTTCGGAAGGGTGGGGGCTGAGGAAAAATGGTTGGTTGCGTCAGAATAATGGTTTCCTCAGTCGATCTATATATATGCAGAGTCCAGCGGCGAAAGGAAGGGACAAAAAGAAAGTTCTGATTTTTTCATCCGCACATGTCTCCAATCCCGTGCGCAAGCCTTTGAAGACCGCATCAAGTCTGCCCATGTTGAAAGGCTCAGGTATATATAGCTTATATAAATTGTAAATGAAGAAACATGCTGACACTATATATATATATATATCTAGACATGGCATATCATTATATTTATATATATTTAGAACTCACAGCCTTTACAGGCAAGATGACACGATGGTGGATTCGGTCCTCAAATTGGACCAGTCCCACAAGCATTACCCTGTCCCGATTTCATGACAGGTGGCCTGCAGGTTCCCTCATGAGATGCCGTTGGGAGTTCCAACGCAAAATGCGATTGCTCTTAGGCAATCTGTCCCTACATAAGATAAAAGTATTCACTTAGACTTTCTAGCCCTTTTCGGGGCCTGAGGCTCGCCCTCTTCAGGTTTCTCACTCTTACCCTTTCCGTGCTTAGACCTGCCCTTCTCCTTCTTCTCCTTCTCCTTCTTCTCCTTCTTGTTCTTCTCATTCTTCTCCTGCTTCACAGTGGGCTTGCGATTCTCTCCCGGGGAAAGATCCGCATCCTTCTTCTCGTACTTCTTTGCATTCCTCATGGTCGGGTCAATTGAAATGAGAAACATGCTTGCTGGCTGCCTGATGCACTGAGGTAAGTACCGAGTCTTCGCTTCAGCTGAACAGGCCGCTGAACACCTGCATGGGACTGAGAACCCTGTATAGTTTTGAATCGATATATTCACTCAATGACTGGTATACACGTATAACCGGAAACGGTGAATATATAGTTCATAAATTTATAGATTGCGACTTCTCAGCATGAGGCCCTGACGCATACGTAGCTGTGTTCATGGCGGCAGTGGCTTGAGTGACAAACCTTTGTTTTTCAAGTCCACTGGCATTGGGTCTCATCTTAATTGCCAAAGTATATATAGGGCACATGAATTCAAAAGTGAAATTGAACTTGACTTCAACTTAAATTGACTTCAACACAAGTTCTGTGTGTCCGAGATTGTCTGAGTACCCCACTCCGGCTGAAATCCGTTGACCTCCCCTCTGAGCATCACAGTGTTGCAGGCATCATACTGGGAATCCAATTTCTGGAGTTCCTCCTCCAACTGACGTCTGGACCTTAAGCGGTTGAGGGCTGAACCCAGGACTGAACGGGATGTGTGCAAGCACCAAAAAAAACTTTATATACAAATCGTTATACATGCATTTGAGCATAAATGCATTAATTTCTCACATGTGGCAACCATTGTGCTTTGCGCAGTCTATATATACCGATGAAATCGCGATTGAGGGTGCCACTTCTGCAGCAGATCACTCTTCGAGTAGGAATCGTTGATTTCCCTGACTAGGCATCTGATCTTGCCTGACTTCTGGATCATAGCGTCCAAGAACTTGCGCAGTTTCTTCTTGGTCTGGTCAGGTTTTAGCAGTCGCTTACTGACACAAAAGGATGTGGCCACAAAATCAAGGTTGGAAAAACTACACATTAAGACATGATTCTATATTTTGGGTGCCTCCTCAACTTGGGAAAGTGCTTCCGGGACTGCCGGTACGGCAACTTCTGCAGATTGGCGCTCTTGAAGCTTTGTCAGGCCATCAAAGGCCCCAGCGGAAAGGTTCGGCTCCTCAGAAGCCTCCAGTGGACAGCGTGACCATGGAAGGCCTTAAGATCGGGGTATGTTTTCGTTTTGAGCAATTTGCCGTTTACATACCATGAACATATCATGCCCATATCAATTGGTCGCTTCTGTTACTGAAGGTTGAATTAAGACTGAGTAAACTATATATTAATTTGTGCTCTGAAGTGGTAAGTAGATAGCTGGCCTCCAAGGCCTTTGATTTCTTTCGGGTCTCCTCTTCAACCTGTTCCTGTTCTCGTGAACCTTTCTCCTTGATGACAACGTAGTACTCCTCCATCCCATCGTAGACGTTCTTCCTGCAAAGCTATCCATCAGTCAACGGACGACCGTTGTGACAAATCAATCGATATATAATCATATAAGCCATATGTACTTTGAGGTTTGAATGTATATCTATATATATATATATAAATGCACAGTTTGCAGTCCTCACATGTGTTGCAGCTTTTGCCAGACATGCCTTCTTTGCACCGGCGATGCGGGCCCTTGGAACAGCGGAAGCTGCGCGTAAGAGGAAGACATATATAAATGAAACCGCCAACAACGATATATATATATATATATAGAAACATTAAAAATAGCTACAAAGACGGAAACACGTTCTATATAATTATATATGTATACTCAGGAAAGGACGGGCTCCAACCATAGTCATCTTTCATCTCCTTTTCGGTCAGCCACTCTTCCTCAATGGTCACCTTTAGAGATGATCTTTTCTTCACCACAATCTCCAGGGAAGAGATGAACTTGGCCTCGCATGAGTGCCATGGTAATTCGCATATATGTGTGCATTTATATTCAGCTATATATAGGCAAAGACGAACAAAACATGGGTGTGAACATCGGCCACACCGGCCTTGTCGAAGTTGCAGCTCATCAGCAAAGCCGCGGTCTCATTTTGAGGCCGGGACTTGAACTCTTGAACAACCCAAGACGGGACATTCAAGTTCACCCTCTTCTTTTTTACTGTGCACAGTCTCCTGAGCTGCGCTTTTGCAGCCTCTCGCAAAAGCTCCTGATAGGAGAGGACCATATGTTCTTTAAACATCAACAATCTCTTGGCTGATTTCAAGTCGATCGATATCTATATATATACATGCAATAGCTTTCAGAATTGTTTTTTGGGCATACATTCCATATTTCATGAAGTTATGTTTAACCTATATATGCAAAATTATCCTCATACTCTCGATCTCTCTCTATATATGATTCCGTTTGAGGCAACTGAATTCTCCTGGCGCGTTTTGCGACGAGCTGGAGGCGCCGACTTCCCGGGCTGGGTGACGGCACCAGCGCGAACTGGAGATTGATCCCCACGCACTGGGGTAGCAACTGGCCGATGAGTTCCATTGTCCTACGCACGGGGGAGAACATGGGACAACATACTCGAGCATAAGGATTGGAAGTATATACAATTAAACTGTCACATGTGCGCACGTATACCGATCGAGTCAGGAATGATATATACTGAAACCGATGCATGTCACGCGGCAATCTCCTTCGGGGTACCAGGCATTGAACCAGCTCCCAACGAATCAGGTTTCTCACCGGGTTCCTTTTGAGCTGTAGCAAGTTCAGTCGGCGTTGAAC